TAGAAACTCGGTAAAAAAAAAAAAAAAGACAGAGCCATGCAACAAGCTTGGGAAAAATCCTTTAACGATTATTAATTCTTTTTTATACTGTTATATATTGTGTCGACTGAGTTTTAAAAATAAAGTCGCATATAGGAACCCAGCAAAAAGTATCATTTGTGTTGTGGGTAACTTGGGAGGATTAAAAACGACTAAATCATCGGCAATATTTTGAGATGTTCTCAAAAAAGAAAAAGAACGAAGAGAGGGACACCTTCAGATGGAGCGAACAATCATCGTTAACCGATAATCGCCAACAAACTTTGCAAGTGGCATTAATCACTTCAATCGCCAAAAATATATCAATGATTCTAATGACGTATAAAAACGGTTTTAAAGATGGATACCAAAGGCGTTTGCACATAGTATAGCGACCCTTACACAAGCCTTTAGAAAAGACCCTAAGCGATTCACAAGCCTTTCTTGTACAAGCCGTCAGTAATGACTCTTAGCCTTCAAGTGTAAGTATATATCTTAAAGAAGCCTTCTGTAAGACAAGCCGACAAGCAATTATCGGATCAATCTTAGCAGCAGGGCACAGAACCTTATATAAAAACAGTAACAGAATATGTGTAAAATGGGGTTGACAGGCCTACACGACTCCCCAGCGCGTGTTTAAAATAGCCTTTCTATAGTTTGGCTCTCACGAGTATGTCTTTGAGCGACCGCCCTCTTTTATAAGATACGAGGGGCGGTTTTTTGTAGATTTCGCTCAGTAATGGTTGTTGTTCTATTAAATGCCAGTTTCTCATGAGAATTTGCTTTAGGTTTGGCACTGATGGTTGGTATTGTGTGACAAAAGGCAAGATTCGTTGGTTTGTCTTTGGTTTCTGTTGAAGGGCTAGTTTCCTGTCTTTGAAGTTCACCTCTGAAAGGGTTGTGTTAATAAGATCCTCTGGGTAACCCCTCTGTAGCAGATGCGCTTTGAAATTTGTAATTTTCTCTTCGAATATTAGTTCGGAAGAGTTTGTTCTGAGGAGTCGGAGGGCTTCCCCTTTAATGAAGCCTTTTTTAACTCCTTGCGGGTGACAGGAAGCAAAATGGGTATACTGAAATGTCTCAGTTGGTTTGAAATGAGTACGCACATCAAGGATTGCGTCTCTTTCGAATCTTTCCCCTTTGTAGATGTAGGTGTCCAGGAATGTTGTTTCCTTAACGGAAATTTCAGCCGTAAATTTGATCGTAGGGTGATGATTGTTTGCTTGTTCAATGAAATGTTCTATTCTGGCTCTGTTTGTAGTCCAGAGCGAGTAGATGTCGTCTATGTAACGTTTCCAAACGAGCGGTTTGAAAAGGCTTCGGCTAAGGATTTCCGTCTCTACCTTGTTCATGAATATATTAGAAAAGGCGACTGCTATTTTCGTGCCCATGGCCGTACCATGTGTTTGAAGGTAGTTTTTTCCATTAAACTGGAAAGAGTTTTCTTGGAGAATTAGCCTGAGCGCTCGTTTTAGTAGTTGTGTAGGGATAGGAGGTTCGTTTCTATAGAATATTTCGTATGCTCTGCATACCGTGTCTATTCCCTCCTCTTGCGGTATATTTGTATACAAGCTCGTAACGTCCATTGAAACAAGTATGACGTCCACTGGGACTTTCGTATTTTCTATGAAATTGACGAAGTCGGTAGTATCTTTAAGATAAGACTTTTGTTGTTGTGCTATCGGCTGAAGGAGTTTGTCGACAAATGATGATAATTTCTCTGTTGGGCCATCACACCCTGATACTATCGGTCTGCCGACCGGGGACGGCTTGTGTATCTTAGTGAGGGTGTAAAATTCTGGAATTCGAGGCGGATTTGGTGTTTGACAATTAAAGCCATTTTTTAGTCATGTCGTCTATGTGATCCCCGTTGTGGAGGTCTGCAATAAGTTATTTAACTTTATGGTTTGTCTCAGTGACCATGGGTGATGCAAGAGGCCTGTAGTTGTCTTTGTTGTCTAGTAGAATTTGGCCTTCTTTAATTTTGTCTTGTGTGTTCATGACTACGGTTGTTGTTCCTTTATCGGCCTTTTTAAGGTTTATTTCAGTGTCACGTTTTAGGGCTCTCAGAGCCTCACGTTCGGCCGGAGGCAGATTATTTTTTGGCTTTGTTATTTCTATTTCTGCAAGGTCGCTTTTAACCTGTTCTAGGTAACTTTCAAGGGCTACTGATCGTTGTATTGGCGGTTCCCATGCAGATTTGACGTGATAAGGATGGGGTTCTTTGTTTTCCCCTCGAAATATGTACATGAGACGCATTCTTCTTGCAAACTGATCAAAGTCACGCAAGAGTTGTTGCCTGATTTGTGTTTGTTTTGTAACGGGTGTTGGAATGAATTTAAGCCCTTTTGCCAGTAAATTAATCTGGTCATTTGTAAGTTCTTTGTTTGAGAGGTTTTTTATGTGTTTTTTGTTCGCCTCTATAGTGATAGTTGAATGTTTCTGGCGTCTGACCTTTCTGCGCTCTTTGCGCTTATTGGTT